ATAAATCGGCTATTTGGGACAACTGAACTCTCTGGTACTCATGTGCACACTCTGGGGGTCACCTCCCACAAAAATCCAGGAAAGGCTCACCCCATCTGGGCGCTAAACTTAGGATGGGCTCGCTCACCACACATCTAAGTCATACTTCATATCGACCTAGGACGGACACTAATCATTCATCCCCGTCCTTAATCTACTCACACACATACCTCAGACAGGATAAACAATTATAGGCAATGTAATACACAGTACAGGGTCCTCACCCGATAGTTGGATGCAAATGCTGGAAAGAATATGTAGCTGGCGGAGACTCGACTCTCCTTAAGCTAAAAAATATTTAAGCAAATATATTCTAAGTATTCAGCTCAACTTGTAAAACTCGATTCTTAATATCCGATCCTACTAGGTTCGCTCACTCGGTTTTAAAAATATTTAAATCTCATTTTAAAAATCTAACGAGCTAAGTTGTAAAATTAATGTCTTGAGGTTATCTAAAGTTCTCAGGAAATTTTCTGTAAGTCTAGAACTAATTATCTAACTGAATCTTTAACTAGCTCGGCTCGGGAAAATACTAAGTCTCGGCTCACGCTCGAACCAGAATTTTGAACTGAAAATCTCGATCTGTTCGGACTTGCCCGGACCGGTTCAGTTGGATAGGACCGGCGGCTCGCTCGGGAACGGGCCGGTCGCTTAGGTTCATAGGATGCCACAGCCACTAGCGCGGGGCAGATGGCAGGGGCACGCTCGGTCGGACTTGGTGCAGGGGCACGTCACATGGCGACAATTTTCCGGCAACCTGGGGTTAATTAGGCTCCTTATGACATCTGGAGTTCAAGGTTATGATGACTCGGGAAAGTATGCTCAGATTTTTAAAATCACTCGACACCTAAAAATGACCCGATCTAGGGTTCTAGTTCTCCAAACAACCTAACTCATTTTAAGATAAAACTTTAACCATGAACTCATCACTACATATAAGGATTTTAGATCTCCAAACCTCAGCTAAATCTCATCATTCCAAATGCCTAAAAATTTACCGATTTAAGGCTAGAGTCTCGATTTTTGAAATCATATCAAACGACCTCTAAAAATCTCAAAATTTAAACATAACCTCAACTTGATATTTAGGATTTTGGTTAAAATATCTCAACAAGAATAGATCTCTAACTCATTTAACATAAAATAGTCATTTTAGGTCTAGATATATAATTCTAGTTCACATAGCAAATAATTTCAAAAAACTTCAAATTTTAAACACAACATCAACATGACATTTACGATTTTGGTTAATATATCTCAGTGAGAATACATCTCTAACTCATTTAACATAAAATAGCCATTTTAGGTCTAGATCTACAAATTCTAGTTCAAATAGCAAATGATCTCAAAAAATCCTCAATTTAAACACAACCTCAACATGATATTAATAATTTGTGGTTAAAATCTTTCAGCAAGATCAGATCTGTATCGCATTCAATATAAAATATCGATTTTAGGTCTAGATATACTATTTTTCTTCACATAGCAAATGAGCTCAAAAAATATTCAAATTTAAAATACAACATCTACACAATATTTTTAGATTTATGGAATTTAAATCACGATTTTTGGACATGCATAGATCAAGACACAAATTTTAGCAAATTAAAGGCAATAAATCAAGATCTCTCATTCTAGCTCTATTTTTCTCAATTCTATATATTTAAAATACTTTATAAATTATAATTCATATCTAAGTCGTAGAAGGGGTTTTGGGGATACTACCTTCTTTGAGGCTCAAAAATGAATAATATAAGATGAAGGTGACTAGTGGAGGCTTGCAATGGCCTTGGCTCGGTGTGGATCCGGGCGTATTGGCACGGGAGCAGCTGGGAGCTCGTACGGGGCTGATGTTGCGGCTGACGAAGGTGTGCTGAGACCCAGTCGTGTGCTAGGGCTCTCCGGCTTGGGTGGTGCCCGACTTTGAGGGGTGGTCAAATATTTTTGTGTGGTGACTAGGAAATTTGGACTTAGAAACGATTAGACTTAGGATGAGTGTGTAGGAATGTTGAGAAAATAAAGTAAAATAATGAGACTAAGTGAAGAGAGCTCATTACTTCGAAACGAGGATCTTTAAAAAAATTTTTGTGTGTAGTTATATTTTGAATCATACTACTATCATTTTAAAATATAGTAATGACAAGGATTTCATTTTAAAATTTAGTAATATTATGTAATAGCATACATATGAATGATACTACTATCTAATAATAATAATAGCATTCTGCATTCATATAAATAATGACATCCCTTTATATATAATTTTCGAATGTGCTGAGTCTAACTGACAGATATTTCGGGATCCTATGTGGCAAAATTACATGCTTAATTATTTGGTTTGGATAGATTTTAATTTAATTCCAATCCATAAATAATTAGACTCAGATTATCCATAAATATGTTCATTATTTATGGTAATGTTACATGTATTTTTAAAAGTTACTAACTTTTTTAATTTTTTTTATTAATTTTACGTATATAATATATCAAATTAATCATCCATTGATGATTTTCGATTCGATATCCATATTGTATGTTAAAGTAAATAAATTATATTTATTTTTATAGCAATAATAAAACTATTTATCAATTTTAATTAGAAAAATAAAATTATTTAATTGCAACTCTCCGTTGTGAAATGAGGCTACAGAAAGTGTGTTACACGCTCCGTTGAGTTGTACGAAATCAGAAAACCATGCACCATTTATTAGATTCTCCTTTTTTGTTTGTTGAAATTTCATTAAAGATAGCTCTTATTATAAACGATCAAATAGAAGAGTCAGACAACAAAATATTTTGTTGGAAGTGATAAAAATGATTATCTTGATAAGGTTATTTTTTTTTTTTTTTTATTTTAATCTACAGCTCGAAGCAGCATACATCACTCTCACACAAGACAAGTTAGGTATTTTTGACATTATTGGAGAGTTGCAATTAAATAGAGAGAACAAAATAAAAATTTGAAATTGTGTAATAGTATATGTTATCATCATTGGTGATATCAGACAAGTGGGTATACATAGGGAATGGTGCTCTTGAAATTGTGCAACCTTTTTTTAGGCTAAGGTGGAATCCCACTTGGATAAGAAAGACGTGTTTAAAGGCCGGGCCGATTCATCACCCGGCTCGCCGGGTTAGAGGGCCTCAATTGTTGGGCTTAGAATCGGTCTGACTATATTTAAGGGCCAATCCATTTGAATTGGTAACTTGGCGGTTCGTTGAACTGTCGTTTTAAGAAAAATAAAAAATAAAAACAATTACGACTTCCCTTTCGATTTGGGATCGACCCAGTCCGACATGTAAAAAAGGAATAAACACGACCCTGAATTGACCTTTAAAGAGTTTCGGGTCCATTCAAAAACCGGCTTTATCGGGCCAGTTCCCGGTCGGTTCTACCCTTGACCATGTCTAGTAAGAAGACATCCAAAAAAAACATAAAAAAATAAAAAAAAATAAAATGGACACGGGCAATGAAATGAGGGTAACAAATGATTTAAACGCAAATTTGGATTTTTTAATTCTTATATTTTATTTCGAAAATTTAAGATCGAGTATTCATTCCGGATCTTTAATGATCTCTTGAAATTTTAAGTTTTTTGATGTATTCGGTTAAAATTTAAGTTTTTTGAATAAATTATAAAGTATTACTATTTGAAACATCAAAACGTTTTTAATCTAAGATATTTGATTAAGTTGGTTGTTATAAAGAATAGGGTAACACAAGATTTGTTAGTGCAATTTATATGCCTTCTTAGTTATATGGTAGTTGTATTATGTATTGTAAGATTATGTTAGATATTTTGTCTTTATATATATGTACATACCCTTGTGATATATACATAAGATAATTTTTCCATATTGTTACATGGTATCAGACTAGGTTTAGGGTCATATATAGGTTGTCTTTCGTCGCTCGTCTACGGCTACCTCCGAGTCTCACCTCCCATACCATCGTCTCCGGCGTCCCGAGGCGGACTATCGCCGGAGATTTCAGCTGGATCGGCGGCGCGTGTGGCCCACACGTTTCTTGTCTCTGCTTCAACGTCGGGTTCTTCCAGCGGCACGTGAGGCTCACCCCCAACGCCATTCGCCGCCGCCTTTCAACCGCCAAATCATGTGGACGTCGGCTACCATTTGGTGTGATCGGTTTTGATTTTCGTGACAGTTTTAATTTCAGCTCATATTTATATTTTGGCAGTTTCGTGATCTGATTTGTGCTTATATTTTTCATCTGTTTCGTGATATTGTGTTGATGTGAGTTTTGGATATGGATCGTATGGATGCACATTCTCCTATTAGTGTTGTCTTATCAGGGGATAATTATAGTCCTTGGGCACAATCTATGAAGGATTTTTTAATTGGGAGAAAATTGTGGCGGATTGCAACTGGTGATGTGTTGCCACCTCTTCATCCGTCTCTTTTAGGGGATTCCTATCCCACACCACATGCTCTTACCACTTACATCGATAAGTTGGAGGATTGGGATAGTAAGAACCATCGGATTCTTACTTGGTTACGTAATAATTCAGTCCCTGCTATTCAGGTGCAACTTGCACCGTTTGACAGTGCAAAGAAAGCTAGGAATTTTTTGGATGCTCTATGTTGACGACATCAAGGGAGATGATGTTACTGGTATTTTCGACTTACAGGACTATCTTCGTTAGTATTTTGAGATCAAGAGTTTAGGCCAGCTTCGTTATTTTTTGGGTCTTGAGGTTTCTGATTCCTCTGATGGGTTCTATTTGTCTCAAGCCAAGTATGCCTCTGATCTTTTTGCTCGGGTCGGTCTCACTGATTGTCAGACAGCTTCCACACCTCTTAATTGTGATGTTTGTCTTACTCCATTGGATGACTCTCTTCTTGAGGATCCTACGTTATATCGTCAGCTTGTTGAGAGTTTGATATATTTGACTGTCACTCGGCCTGATATAGCTCGTGTTGTTCATATTGTGAGTCAGTTTATGGCTGCTTTGAGAACCACGCATTATTCTGCTGTGTTGCACATTCTTCGTTATGTGAAGGGCACTCTATTGCATGGTTTACACATCTCGGCACGTTCTTTCTTGACACGTAGCGACTATTCTGATGCAGATTGGACTGGAGATCCTATTGATCGTCGTTCCATTATTGGGTACTGCTTCATTTTGGGTGATTCACTCGTCTCTTTGCGTAGTAAGAAGCAAACCTTAGTTTCCATATCGAGTGTTGAGTCTGAGTACCGTGCTCTTGCTGATTCCACCTCCGAGCTATTATGGTTGCGTCGGCTACTTGTTGATCTCAGTACACCTCAGTTGTAGTCTACTGCTCTCTGTTGTGATAGTCAGAGCGCTATAAAGATGTCTCGTAATGATACCTTTCATGAGCGCACCAAGCATATTGAGATCAACTGTCACGTCATTCGACAACATGTTGCACATGAGACTGTGAAGCTTGTTTCCGTCTCCTCTACGGATCAACCAGCGGATGTCTTTACGAAGTCTCTCCTTCCCGGTCGCTTTTGGTTACTTCTTAGCAAACTCAAGTTGATTTCCACTATACCACCTTGAGTTTGAGTGGGGATGTTAGTTATATGATAGTTGTATTATGTATTGTAGGATTAAGTTAAACTTTTTGTTATATATATGTACATATATACCTTTGTGATTAATACATCATATAATTTTCCCACATTCTTACACGCCTCAAAATTTCTTGTTCTATGCGAGCTCAAAATCGATTTTATTGGATTTTGTCACACTTTTTTATCATTAATTAACTAATTCTTTTATTTTTTATTTTTCATTTTATTTTTTATAAATGTAATTATTTGAAATAAAGAAGTACACACATTAAGAAAATATGTAATCATATCATTTGATTTAATATATAGAAAAAACAGATGTCATGGAATCTTTTTTTTTTTTTTTTTTT